GGTGGCAGCGCGCAGGGGACTGAGGGGTGGGAGCACACGGGACACCGGGCACAGGACACCAGGACACTACGGGACACCAGGGATGGCAGCACGCGGGGGACATGGGACACTGTGGGATGGCAGCACACGGGGGGACACAGGACACTACGGGACACAGGACATTAGGGATGGCAGCACGCAGGGGACACGGCACACCAGAGATGGCAGCACATGGGGGACATGGGACACCAGGGATTGCAGCACATGGGGGACACGGGACACAGAGGAATGGAAGCACACAGGGGACGCAGGAGATAGGGATGGCAGCACACAGGAGCAGACCTATGGGACACTGCACCCGGGACACCAGGGACTATGGGGGTGACAGCACATGGGACACCAGGCACCCCCAGCTCCAGACACATGGGACACTGGGTACCCAGTACACTGGGCACATGGGACAACAGGCAGCCCCAGGGACACAGGATACCTGGCATTGCCACCACAGGGCACATGGGACAGAAGGCATATGAGACACTGGTGGCTTAAGTGACACACAGCACAGTGGAGGACACAGGGGACATGGGCCATGGCAGGGAGAGGACACAGGACACGGGGAAGGATGGCACAAGGGACACAGGGCACTAGGGCTGGCAGCATCCAGGGGACATGCCACCCACCAGGTGTGACAAACCACTGGCCCCACTGCCACCAGGCAAGTGACACCGTGCACGGAGGCTGCTGTGGCTTCGTCCAGCGTTTGCAACGCAAACCTGCAGCTCTTCCTGCTTGGCTCCATGTTGGCACTTGCACCTGGACCTTGGACTCTGGCACTGGGACAGAAATGTCACCTCCCCTGTCCACAGGCCACCCCACACCTGGCCCTGGCTCCTAACAAGCCAAAGGAGCAGCTGAAGTGACCCACAGAGGACATCAAGAGCAGCAAGGGGAAAACAGGGAGAAAATCAGCCTCAAATCAGCAATTCTCAAATGTTTCGTGGTGATTCATACTGGGTTGGGGTGGGGGTTTTTTTGCTTTTGTTTTAGGTTGGGTTTTTTGTTTGTGTGGGCATTTTTTGTTGGGTTTTGGGTTGTTTGGGTTTTTTGTTGGGTTTTTGTTTGGGTTTCCTTTTGTTTGTTTTAAATAGAGACTGACTTATCAGGGGAAAGCTGCCTGCAAACACCCTTAGCTCAGGCTACTCAGATCATTCCAACACAGAAGCTGAAGGTCACTCCCATCTCAAAGCCTTTCTTTTTATGAAGGGAAATAAATATGCCAAAGTCTCCCAACAAATCACTCCAGAGAAGTTGCACTCCCAATCTTGATCTTTATTCGTTACAGTTTCATGGGGGATACCGTTTTGCTTCTAGATCTTGTTGAAAGCAGCAATGTCAACACTCTGCACCTGCAACGGAACAAAAACCAGCAGGGAGGTCACTAAGGTGTTTTCAGACATAGAATCATGGTTTGGGTTGGAAGGCACCTTAAAGATCATCGAGTTCCAAACCCCCTGCCGTGGGCAGGGACACCCTCCCCATGCTGAGGAATAGTAAGAATAAAAACTATAGAATTATTTTTCCCACTGAGGATAAGAAAATAAGTTTCCCTGCTATAATTCTTATTTGGCTTTAGACTCTAGTAAAAAGAACATGACACAAAGCTCTTACGAAACCAAGAACTCACTTTGAGAAACTGTTTAGAGTAAATTTTTCACCTAGTTGTAAATAATTATTGCACCAATGAACTGCATTGGTGATGTAAACTGACAAAAACCAAAAAGTCTCCTTCGGAGTGAGCAGTTAAATCTGAAAAAAGTAACATTAAAAAGTTGTCCATCAAATGAAATCCACAGCAACGTGATACACTGAGAAAAATGATATTTATAGCTTTAAATATTTAATAAACTCTGTTCAAGCTATAAAAAAAAATGTACTCAACATGAATGCAATCCAAACTGAAAAGTTTAAAGAACTCAAAGCAATTTCCTGAATTTCAAGCAGAAGAACTCATTAAACTTCTAGAAATCGATTCAAAACTGAATCTAATTGTGCAGTTTTCGGCACAGTGCCTGCTCGTTTGGGAGACAGGATGGGGCTGGATGAGCAGCAAGAGCCGGTAAAATGGTTCTACTAAATATCTGCAAGACATCTGCATCAGCCAGCCTTAAACCTTAAAAAAAAATATTTAAATATACAAGTGTCTCAGCAGGCAGACACCATGAATTCCATGTGGTTTTCTTTTAAAAAAGTCCAATTTTGCCAAAATCTGCAAATGAAACTTAGTTAAAAATGATCCCACAGGTCAGGCATCACCCAGCATTACGCAGCTTGTTGAAAAAAAAACAACTTACGTAGTCTTCAAACTTGGTGATCTCCTCCTCCAGGATGTCTGTTCCAACTTTGTCATCCTCCACTACGCACTGGATTTGGAGCTTTTTAATACCGTAACCTACTGGGACCAATTTGGAGGCTCCCCACACCAGCCCATCCATTTGGATGGACCGGACACATTCCTCCATCTTCACCATGTCAGTTTCATCATCCCACTGGAAAAGCATGAAGTACGAATTTTAGTGTTTTCCTAGAAATCACCATTAGGCCCCAAGAGGTACCCAGTGACTTAAACACAACACCTCTCAGGAGATTTCAGATGATCCAAGTTGCTCTTTCTTTCTGGTTTTCACCAGAATTAGCTGATGGGTTAAGCCAAGCTAAAATCTGACTTTGCAGCATGTTGTTTTGATTCTACCTAGAGGCACCGCAGATGCGAGGAGGATTCTTCCTGCAGCAACACAACTGCTTTGGAGGGCTTGCTTTAAAGTGATTTTTACCAAGAGCATCTCTCTGAGCACCACCCAGCCTGAAATTTTTGTTCTACCGTAACAATTTTACAAAGACAGATTTATTCCTAACTTGGGGTGTTTATTATCTGCTTTTTCTTCAAAGAAAAGGGCTGGTCCTGGTCAGCGGAACCTCAGATAACAGCCTGCACTTGTCATGGTGCAAGGAACAGGGCAGCAGCGCAAAAGCTACGGATCCCAGTTGGAATATCCCACCTCGCTCTGACCCCTTGGTTGGAAATCACAGAATGGTTTGGGTTGGAAGGGACCTTAAAGATTGTCAAGTTCCAACCCCCCTGCCATGGGCAGGGACATCTCCCACTAGCCCAGGTTGCCCAAAGCCTCATCCAGCCTGGCCTTGAACACCTCCAGGGATGGGGCATCCACAGCTTCTTGGTCCAATGTCTCACCACCCTCACAGTGAGGAATTTCTTCCTAATGTCTAATCTGTATCTCCCCTCTTTCAGCTTAAAACCATTCCCCTTCATCCTATCCCTCCACTCCCTGATCAAGAGTGCCTCCCCATCGGTCAGGTTCCATCTGCAGGTCCTATCTTCACCAATCCACTTGGATGTGCAAGTGAGATGATTTACACCCTCTTGCAGCACAATACGTACTGACTCAGGAGCCCCCCCACTTCAGTTACTCACTGGTTTCACATCCAGAAGGATAGAAGACTTGGCAATAAGACCCGGTTTCTTGGCCTTCTTCTCTGCGTACTGACGCAGCCTCTCCTCCCGGACTTTGGCAGCTTCTTGGTCTTCCTCTTCATCGTCACTACCAAAAAGGTCAATGTCATCATCGTCATCATCCTCTCCAGCAGCTGGCTCAACTTTCTTTGCCGGTGAAGCAGATGGGAGCTCCACTTTCTTGGAGGGAACGCTGAATGGTTCCACCTTCTTCGATGGGGTGACGTGTTCAAGTTTGCGTGAAAGAAAAAGGGAAGAAAATTAACCCGAATCAGAGCAGTGCTCAGGAGCAGGTCAGGAACAGAAGTCTACATTGCTCAAGACAGTGAACGTGGCCCACACCATGTGATTTGCATGAAGAATCACCTATTGGCCATCAAAATTTGACATTTGACAATCAGACATCAAAATTTGACCAGATGGACCTTTAAAACAGCCCAGCATGGCCGTACTTAGAACAAAAAACACCACGTAGCAAAGAGCTGATCCTTTTCCGAAGGGCTTGGGATATCTAGACTGTAAGAGTGGGACAGCAGTTGGGAATGCAACCAAACACCTTCCCCTAGCATGAGGAGTGGCCCACGCATTCTGTAAGTTACTGCAGAGACCACCAGCACCACTGGTAGCATGTATTCCAACCTACGACGAGAATTGATCAAGTTCTCCCAAGCTGAAATTTCTACTGTAGCTTCTTTGCTGGTCTTAGGGCAGAACACTCCTCTCTACTTTTTGGGAAAGACAATGATGCAAGCTGCCAAAACTCCTGGAAAAGCTGCAACAAAGCATCTCTCCATCTTCAGCCAGCCAGAAGACTTCTGAAATAACCTGGCACTTCGTGACCATGAAGTGTTCAAGAACAGCATTTTGCCAAGGCTCACCTGGGTTGGAGGAACTGGTGAGGGCTGGTGGGAGGTAGATGACTTTTCCAGAGCATTCAGGCGGCTTTCCAACTTGAAGATGGCCATCTGAAGGTCTGCAACAACTGCAGGAAGATGGGATGGGGGTGGGAGAGAACTTTATATCTTGTAGGCTCTGCATCAGCTCTCAAATCAGGACAAATTGGCTTCTGTTCAAAGTGGCTTTAAGAAAAACACCAGTTGCCCCAGTCAGAGGGAAACATGCAAATCTCTGATCAGGACACTGGCATGTGCTCATCTGATGACAAAGTCAGTAAAGGATACACCCCCCAAAAGCAGGACCCCCATCCAGCTTTGCTTTCATGCCAGAAGATTCTCCTACTTACCACTGCGAAGGTTTTGATTTTCTACCTCCAGGTGAGAAATTCTGGACAGGACTTCATTTTGGTCACCAGCAGGTCCAGAAGAGGTTGTGCTCGTGCTCTGCAACAAGGAAAAAGGAGATGAAACAAATCTGTTCATCTATTCCCCAAGCTCTGTGGTTCAGCGAAACAAAGCAGAGTCATGTCTTCAGGGAAGAAAAAAATTTGAGAGCTAATCTAAGACCAAGGAGATTTTCTCTAAAGGTTCTATGAAAAAGAATATAATAGCTCTACAGAATGAAGTATGAAACATATCTCAAGAAATTTCATCTGGCACTGATAAGCAAAGGATAAAATTCTTTGCGGTCTTAGATTGCAGACTGCCACTAAACACCCAAAAGGTTTTGAAAGTTTCATGCTGAGCCCCTTAAATGAGGCAGCTGGTCTCCCCTCACAGACAAACCGAGGCACAGAACACAGACCTGTCTAATGTCACGCAGCGAGTCACCGTGAAAGCTGAAAAAAGATCCCAGCATTTCTATATTCCCACTTTCCCCACTCCAGCCTTTAATTCCTCTCAAAACAACTTAAACCTAGTTTAACACATCCCGAGGGAGAAATAATACCCATCCAGCTTCAGAAGTATTTAACAGCAAAAAAGACCTTTTTTTTTTTAAGGAGGTCCTTATCTAAAAATTCAAATCAGCAAAGAAAATAACAGGCCTTCACGCTTTAAATGTCTTTTATAACTGCATAAAATAGAGAAAATAATGTCTATTCTTTCAAGTGCACCCTGCATATAATTATAACGTCGTTCTCAGTTGTAGTTGACATGCTTCCGAGATTCCAGCAGTCGTTTAAAATGGAGAGAGGGAAATACAAGGGTTAATATGAAGAATGTGGCACAAGGAAGACAGATCTGGGAGATGCCTGGTCCTGGGAGACTCAGTGCGAGCTTCTCCTAGCAGGAAGGTCAAAGAGACCCTTCTGCAACCACCCAAGAAGGGGCAGGGGCCAGATGTCAGAAGCGCTGTGAAATTGATCTCCGATGCAGCTTTTGCAGGCTCAGTAACATGAGCGGAGATGTGCAGTCCTTAGACACCAATCTTATTATACAGGGTGAGCTACGACCACATGCCGAAGGATCAATGTTTCTGATGGTAAGGAAGGAGAATTTGGTCCATCTCTCCAAGGCAGAGGTCTCCTTGCCCTCCAACGTCCTCTCAAATCACACAACCCATCCATGCACCCGTTGACTTACAGTTGAGCGGCCCGCCTGCCTCTTGGGACGGGCAGAAGGAGCTTCTTTACTACGAGGAACTGTCTTCTGCTGCAAAGGGCAAAAAGTTTGGAGGATGTTTGGTTCAATGTGGAAGATAGAAAAGGATTTTACTCACGCTGGAAGAGTGCAGGAAGCAAAACACATGCAGGAAAAAATCATCAAGCAACGAGATACAGCCTCACACCAACTTCACACCGAACAAAGCCTGCATGGAAATATTTATCCGTGAACTCTGCCATCTTCTCATTAAACATCTCAGTGCCTGCAGAAAGGTTGTGCAGCTGGGTGGCAGAACTAGACTGAGATGGTAAAAAATCAGAGGTGCCGCAGGTACATGCGGTACACAGCCCAGTATCAGCTGGTTTTCCTCTCATTAGATAAAATCTGACAGATGCAGAAACACACGCAAAGTTACCAAGACTCTTAATTAAAAGTCCCTAATTACCACTAATGCATCTCTCCTAGAGAGGAGTAAAGCAACACAGCATCGATCTGCACTAAAACCCTGATGACACCCCTGCACAGGCTTCCATCCTCACATGGACCACCGAGAACAGAGCCCACAGCAGGCTCATCCTTAGCCTTACCACACCAAAGACAAAAATTAAAGCTCAGATTTACTCATTGCCTGACCTCTTCCTGTTCTAGTTACACCATCAGGGCCAAGGTCTAAGTTAAATCAGTGAAAAGTGAATTCAGGTAATAGTCACATCCATCCCCATCCCTTGAAAAAACATTTTTGTTTTGACTCATGATCCAACATGGGAGCTGTGTCACCTGCAAAGAGACACACAGATGGGTTTGCGGTTTGTTTGTTTTGGTTTTTTTTTCCAAAAGCAGCCTGCTGATTCAGCTAAGCAGCAAGCACTGCAAATATTTGGTGGTTTGAAGCCTGAGTCAAATTTAAAGCCAAACGCTGAAACATTCAGAGTCACAGAATCAGAGAACGGTTTGGGTTGGAATG